AGCCTGTTCAGCTTGAAACAAAGGGATTTCCTCACATTCAACCTCATTACTCTGATTAGTGGGCTTGTAAAGTGGAGCATGAAAATGAAACATGACATAGACATGAAGTGATTGTACTAAAATCCACGCAGACTGCTTCTTGGAAATGAAAGTATGACATCCATCTTCTCTGAACTGTTTACAAAGTTAAGTTTTCTAAGTAGTTCATTTTTAAAGTCTGTAAAGTAAGTTACTGTAGCTGTTAAGGGGAGACACCAAAAACAAAAAAATCCAAATAAATGAGCAGGGTGGGTTTTATTTTTTGTTTGTTTTTCTTTAATGACACTGAAAAAATAAGTAGAAGTGATAAATTTTCAGTAGAAATAAATGTTGAGCAGGAACATGTTTTGACTGGGTGGAAATAGATGAAAGTCTACTTGTTTTCATGGCAAAAATGGAGAGAACAGTCTGCATTATTTAAAAAAAGACCTCTTTGTATGCTGCTTACTTCTGCCTCTGAACGTACTCTGTCCTTTTGCCTTAGCTGTTACAAAGATACCTGTTTAGTTGGGTCTTCAGAGGTCATACAAGACGATGATTTCAGTGTTATAATGCTTGTTTGATACTGTGCAGTGCAGGAGCAACACAATCTCTCATATTTTAGCTTTAACAGTAGAGTTACATCATATTGTCTTAAAGATTTGTCTTCAAATACTGAGTTTTCTTTACGGAGCTTAATCCTGCAAGACCATACCTCTTTGATTTAGAAGCTGATTCAGTGCCACAGACATCTTATGTTGTCAAACTGCATTGTGTGCTGTGCAGAATGCAAATCTTTTTGTTCTGCAGCACACTTTTTTAGAGGAAAAAATAAAGAACAAAGATTTGAATGCAGGTTTTGGTGCTGCTGCACTGTTTCTAGAGATGACTCACACTGATACAATTAAGATCCCAGAACTCCGTATGCAATTGCACCATCTCCATTTCCAATAAGAGCATCTGGAAGAGGATATCTAAATGCTGTTGGATATTGTGAAAAAGCAAGCTGGTGATACTCAGGAGAATTCAGCATCCTGGTGTTTAGGAAATGAAGGGCAAGGCTGTGGGTTGCAGTAAAGCAGGTCAGTGTCTGACTGCTGTGAAATTAGCTAATGTGAGAGAGTGCTGCCTTTCCATATGAGGGCTGGCTGGTGGGACTTTATAATGCTGCTGTAGGTCCTTGCAAGCTGCTGCCATTGTGGCTTGGCTCACCAGGAGAAGCAGGGTAGGATGCAATCCAAAGCACACTGGGTGCACAGTGCGTGCACAATACAGTTTAAAAGTGAAGTTTGGCATCTAGTGTGAAAGTGGAAAGTATGATTTTTTTTTATTTTATTTTATTTTTTTTTTTGAGAGAGAGCTTTTGGGGAAAGTTTCCCATTCAGCAGCTTTTGCCACACACAGTATTTCTCTGTAGTGCACATCTACTAGGTAAGCTCCATGAACCTTAGGAGGAACGCATTTCCAGGCTCATTTGTGCTCTTATTCCCACTACAAAGGGGAATCATCTATACTGAACTTGAGGAGATGGGTTTTGTACAGGTGACCTGTGCTGGGTACAGCTTGTGGAAGAGCACAACCCTGGAATGATGGAGGACAGCAGGGCTCCCACCAGCCTCTGAGGCATCTGCTTTTGGGGCACCCCTCAGCCATCAGACTGTTACGTGGGCTGAGTAAGCACGTGAGATTTATTTCCTCGGCTTTAGTGAGGACAGTTTTGCCTTTAGGACTCAAACATTGAGAGATTTCCCTGGAAAGGAGACATAATGTGGGGAGAAGGGAGGAGGAAGGTGTAGGATCACATCTTTCTCCATGTTCTTGGAAATATCCTTGGGAATGGCTCAGCAGCAGGCAGACAGAAGCACTTCTTGTGCTCTGAGGTGGCTCACTTGGGACCCACACAACCCATACCCGCCAGGGAAAGCATTCTCCTGGCAGGTTTTGAAGAGAACCTGCTGTAAGAATGATTTGAGACACGCATTTTGGGTCAGCACAGCAGGCTGCTGCTGAACCTCTTCTGGTGCTTGAAACACTGAGCATGGACACTTTTCACTCTGTTTATTATTTCCAGTATATGTTAGTGGAATTAATGCACTGAGCAGAAGAAATCCCGGATGAATAAAACTCTCTTTAGCAGCATGTGTGTTCATGTTTCTGATACAAAACCCCAGTACAAACAAACTGCTCAGTGGGGCCTACGTTCCAAAGGGAACAATAAGAGCTCTGTTGAGTCCCATCTTTCAAAGGAACTTGAGTTCCAGGTATTCATTGGTTCTTGGTTCCTCTGCTGGTTACCCAGATGAGTATTTTAGTGACTTTGTTTTTCTAAAGATGCTTTCTTCTTGGTTTTGCATGGGGGGAGGGAGAGCTTGTACGGGCTGAGGCTGGGAAAGTCACTCTAAAAATGAAAGCACAAGTGTTTGTTCAGTATATTAAGATTTAATTGATGGTTGCAGAAGCCACATTTTTGTCTGCTTTTCAAAATGTTTGGGTGGCTTTGTGCAGACTTGAGGTATGGGTCACTGTGGATCTGGGGAAGGCAGTGTTGTGTTAGATAAGAGCAAAACAAGTGTCTAATTGTTCCAAGAGTTCAAAGCATTGGCTATCATTGAACAGACTCTTTTCTGCAGAGGGGAGTTTTTGGACAGGGAGAGGGAGGTTGCCTGAAAATTAAAATATTTGGTGTTGCTGTTTCCTTCATCTTTGAGATGCCTGCAGTGATCAGACCCACCCTGAAAGTTCTGATACCAAAATATTACTGAAGTTTAAAGAAATGGAAGCTGTGAACAGCAAGCTATGCTAAAGGTGAAAACAGGCTGATAAATACAAGCATTTATGTAGTTGAGCAAAGCACAGGAAAGCTCATCTTTATGACCCCTGTAGGGTGTCTTCCAACATAAATGATTCTATGATTAACTATGATTATTTTAATTGCAGTTGCAGTTAAAATAATGGAGAGCAACCTGTTTTTCTAGCACACCTCTGCTGTTTCGCTTTCTGTTAACTCCATGGAGTTTTGGGGATTGTAGTTAAGCTTCAGTACAGTCCATGTTTGCTAGGGGATAGACACAATTAGTATTGTGTGCCCTGCCAGGAAGAAAGCCAGTAGCTGGCCTGTGACTTACCTAAAATGAGTGGCAGCGACACCCATTTTATGCTTCATTTGATCCTGAGTACTAATGTGGAGCTGTTGTGTGGAGGAGGGGTGAATTAAAAAAGCATGTATTTCTATTGATCTTAAGGCTTGTTGCAGGATGCAACTTTTGTGGTTTGCCACTTAGAAGTCATGCAAATTCTGCTTCAAAATAGAGTCAGGGAACTGTGGGCTTTGGTCTGGGTTTTTGTCAGCTGTGATTGTTTAGGATTTGTGCTTTCTCCTTCCGCTTTAGATTTGGCCTCTAGGCACATCTTGGGAGAAAGAAAACAAGGCTTTCAAGCTGATGGGTTTCTTTTTTTTAGATTTTTTAAAATTTATTTTTACTGAGACTTTAAGTGAAATTCAATTGTATAAATATGCTCATAACTGGGAAAATGCATCCCCGTCAATGTCTTTTAGAAAGAATTATTCAGGAAAGCTACTGAATTGACATTGTGATCATTTGTTTTACTGTCACTGTCTGGCTGCTCTATGAGTCAGTTTAAGTTTAGCTGTGGGAATTTCAGCCTTCTATTTTTCTGACTTATGGGTTATACAGCACAGAGGGATCCTTGTGAGTCACCTTCCTCCAGTACAGCCTGCAGTTCTCCAACTTCAGTCTGCCTGGACAAAATCAGGAAGGAGTGCGTAACGATTGCCTAGGTCTGAAAATATAAGGGGATACATTGGGATTCAGAAATTGCACATCAAGCAAGGATGTTAGTGTCCATCAAGGTTGTAATAGGCTCTCAAGGTGCTCTAGTGCATGTGTGTGTAACTCTCTGAGGCTTGATTTTTGACCTAAAACCCAAATCGCTTGTTTAGGGAAATGCAAACCCAGGTTTTCTTTCTGCTGGTTGTAGCTCCATGGTGCTTAATAGAACCAAAAGAAAAAACACACCACATCTCATGACTAAGAAATTGTTCAGGCCTCATAAACAGAGTTCAGGCACTTGGGGAAATAGTTCAATATTGCTCTCAATTTCAAAAGTTGTGGAAAAAACTTTGTGCTTCTGATGTTTATTGTCAGGATTTTGCTTGAAGCAAAGCATCGAGGTGAAGGTGAAAGAGGTGTGAAGGTGATGATGAAGAAGTAGGTCATGCTTCAAAACTGAGTAGCAGATGTTTTTTTTTCTCATTTTATTTATTTGAAGCCATTTTTAATGCGGACACTCCAAAAATGGGGTACATACAAATTGCTACATCTTCCAGTGGTGCTTTTGCTGCTTCTGTTGACAGGCAAACGACACTGAATACAGTCTGGGAAAGGCACGGGTGATGGCGCTGGGCAAATGTGTGGCCTCAGAAGAGTGGAGCTGTGGCAGTGGCAGATGGCTTTGTCCTAGCAAAACACTGTTAAGGATTTTCTTTTTCCTAGAATTTTTTTTTGGTCTCTTGGGAAGTCTATAATGGGAGAGCTGGGGTGAGGAAGAAAACAATGCTGTTTACTTAAATGTAGGTGAAAATTTCTACTTCTCTGCAGATGGGGGGGAAAAAAAAATCTGGCATGTATGTGAGTAGCTTTATAAAGCTCCCTGAGGAAAAGTAATAGTCACCACCTTGAACAAGAGCTGCTGTGTGATGGGCTGAGTGTTGTCAGCCAGTGCTCTGTGCACCACTGCAAGAGAATGCAATGAACTACCTCGTGCCCAGGGATCTCAGTACTGCTTAGGGACTGGTGTCCTGACTGAAAGGGTAGTTGGAACTTGCTCTGAATTTTCTGGGCATTTTTTTCAATTCTATTAGAATCACAAGAGACATGAGGATGTTGAGGACTTGCTATAGAATTCTGTTGATACCATTTGCTTGTCTGAAAATGACTGTTTTAATGTCTGTTTTCTTACAGTGTGATTAGTGTTACTGCACTGTCAGAAATAGCAATTCCTACATAGAAAAGCATGGAAGTGTTGAGCAGCAGCACTGCAAAACAGGACTAGCCGAAGCAGCAGCTTAGATCTGCTGGGGCCAGCCGTGCTCAGGGCCTCAGGACCGCCAGCACAGGATGATGCCACTGCTACAGAAACTGAAGTGGGATCCTGCAGCAATTCAGCTTCAAAAGTCACAGGCCACCTCTCTAGGCAAGTACTTGTCATTAAATTATTATCAGTATTTTGTATAGCAGCATCTGTTACACAAATTCGAAATCGAAGCAGAAGTCCATATAACAAGCAGGAAAAGTGTGGTCTGCAAGTTATTAATGTCCCATATGAGGAAAGCTGGAAGGTAAACTTAAAGTGGAAGAATGAAGTTACTCATAAATGAGAGCTGGAAGTAAGCTGACAAAGGCCTGTACTGTCCACCTTTTTTAAAGATCAATGCAAACCTTTATTTTCTATAAATAATTTAATAAATACTTTTGTTTTACAATGATACAATAAATGACAAATTCATAGCAAATGAGTCACAAAGAATTTAGAATCAGTATACTTTAATAAGGTATCAGTGTCAAAATACATTTCCTTATCAAATTAAAGTTCCCATATAGTTATAATATTGTCAATAAGAATTCAGCAATATAGATTATGAAATAATTATGATAAAAAGTATGATTAATATTAAGATGGAATATTTTTCCAGAGTGTTTTAGTAAACTGTTAGGCTATATAACATTTTTAATGCTGAAAATACACAAATAAGAAACAGAAAAGAAGCAGTATTCAAGTGTCTTTAGTCTTTGATGCCTTTAAGTCCTTGCCACTGAAAAATGTCAAATCTGGCTTGCCAACTTTCATTCATTACATGTTGACTCTTACACTATCCTTTTCCCATAGGAATAAATTCACTTTATGAGTAGCTTATTTTTGGTAAAAAGAAAAAAAGAGCACAAAACAAAACAACTCTTGAAAGATCTGCCTGCAATAAGGACTACTGGAATTTTTATTTGACACTATATACCACTACTAACATAAGATCTTCCACTTTCAAAAGAGTGCACAGTATGTATGGTTAAGACTCACTTAACACAGCAATTTCTGAAGTGCTCTATGAACCCAAGGCTCCCTCTCTGCAAGTGTCAGTGCATGTAGAAAGCAAAATCATAAAACAGGCTTCAGTGGAACTGAATATCTAAAACCAATTATCTTTGTTCTGAGTTTCTGGGCCAGATTTTATACCTTCTGTACATTGCCACTGTTCCATTTTTTTTCTGTGAAGCCACAACGATTTATACCAGTGGAGGAAACCAGATGGATTTCAATAAATATCTCAATACGTAGCTATTTCAAAGGCAGAACTGCCCACCTACTTCTATTAGTTTTAATATTTTTGCTGCTTAAATACACTCCAATTTTCAAACATCAACATTTGAAAGCATTCATAGCCTTATTTCTAAAAATGTGCATGACAGTACATCATAGTTGAAAAAGAGTCCTGAAAACATCTGGCTGAGTTCAGTAACATCTCAGCTCTTGATTAAAATATAAGGTAAGTTAAAATGAGAAAAACCTGTCAGTAATTCATCTCACTACACGATTCTTAATTCTTTTTGTCCACTTACAATTAAGTTAGCATAATATGCCAGAAAATACTACTTCTAGTTTCAATATTGAAATTATCTTGCCAGCCAGCCATACACCATGATAAAAGCTAGTAGTATTCAGAGGTGTTAGTTCTGGCCAATGGTCAGATTCCTGAAGTGTCAGAAACGTTCCAAGAAATACTACGGGTTCTTAACTTTGTTGCGTTCTAGATATAGCAAAAGTACCAAGAGCTGATTAACAACTGACCCAAAGAGAAACAATAATAATAATAAAAAAAACAAAACACAAAATCTGTTTTGTGTAAAAAAAAATGAAGGGTACGACGAAAGAAAAGAAAAAAAACAAAACAAAACAAAACCAAAAATACAACAAGCAAGAAACCCCAATACAAACAAAAACACAGGTCTGAATCCTCCACTGGGATAAATCTGTAGGACTCGTGTGTCTCTAGCACTAAGCCAGGTTAAGTCAGCTGAGGCTGTGACTTGATTCAGAGGGAAAAAAAGCTTACAATGTGCAACCTTCACAGATACCCACAAACACTATAGTTCACCATTCACATTTCTTTCACCAAGGTGTATAAAACTGAAGGGGAGGGGAGGAAGGCTGGGATTTCTCTTTAGTATGCTTTTCCAGAAGTTATTAAAAGTTACAAAGCAATAAATGCTGGAAAACAGAAAGACTCAAAGGATTTCAATTTGGCAAATGAACAAAAAACTGTGGTTGGAGATCAAATTTGTTTCATTTGTCTTTGGCAATAAAAATAAATCTTTGCAGTACTGCAGCCAAAGTATCACGCAACGAAGCACAGCTTTTTCCTAGCATGAAAATTGAAGGAAATTTGAAAGTATAAATTACTGGTAACAAGATAAAGGAAGGGTAATCAATCTCTCTAAACAACACTTTAATTGGAATAGAGAAAATACAGTAGATGTATTTCTTTAATGTGAATAATAAAAGTGAGTAACTTCAAAAGGCCACTATTTGGTAACATGGACAGATTCAATATCTATGTAAAATCCTGTAAAAGTGTATTGGTATTAGAAATCGCCTACTTGCAAAAATATATTTAAAAACTGAAGCTGTTTTGAACAGTATAGGCCAAGGAATACTGCAGGACTGCTCAGGTTGCCTGGTCCAGGGCTCTGAGCAGTTCACTGCCCTGCAGAAGCGTGGAACTGCCCAAAACAGGGACGTTTACCTCACAGTCATATCTTGTCAACTCAGGCAGCAAATAAGGTTCAAAGGAAGACCCCAGCAGACGACTCGTCACACCTGAAACAGTAAAAGTCAGTCAGGATGCTGAGATCAGAGAGAGAGACTGATAGTGAGAGAATGTTTCTCTCCTCTCTTCCCTCTTCTGTTTATACCAGTTACTGCTTTGTATTGTACTTATGCCTGTACACCTCAAACTACCAACAGTTCACATTTTCAGAGCAAATGCAATCATCTCTGCCTTTAGGGGTTACAAGCACAATGTTTTCCACTTCCCCACTAAATTCAGATTGAGGAAAATGACACTGGTGCAAATGAAGAAAGCTATAGTAACATAGTTCATAAATTGACAGCCTTGCTGTCTCCATTTGTCTCCTTTCACTGCAGATACTAATTTTTAGAAGGCAGCCTTTGGTCTGTAACCTAGAAACCTCAGCTATCACTGCTGCACTGAAGCTGCTTAATACAGTTTAATCAATTTGATCACAAGACAAGAACGTGTAAGATGATGACTAGACCACTAAGGTAACAAAGGTACTAGTTCAATTGAAATGAAGGGGGAAAAACTGTTTTTCCTCATATATCACAAATGTAAATATTTAACGTGAAACTTTTAACAACCAAATTAATTTTTCATTTTGTAGAACACTATGCAATTGACTCTCGGTTTCACATTCTCTAACTTTTTTGTTAAAAGTTTTATTCTCATGGAATCAGTCGTGGAACTAAATGCCAACGTTTTTCAGCCTCTGTATTGGACTCTGTATCTCTTACCTGACACTTTATGAGCTGACTGCACAGTATAGTCCTGATAATGGGGACTGTAAAACTGAGGAGAAAATGCTCCTGCTTTCAGATTTTCACCAGTACTGCCACAGGTGGGCTGTTGCTGCTGCTGCTGCTGCAGTTGATTCATTGGTTGGCTCAGACCTCTCGAGTTGCAGACAAACTCATCTAATTCATACAGGAGAAAACAAAAAAAAAAAATTAAATCAAGCCATTGTAATTGTTATAGTAGCTAATACTAATTTGAAGCAAATTGTTCCTTGGTGTGACAGTGACACAGTGTAGGCATATCTGAAGTCTAGAAACAGTATCATCTGGAAGTAGTATTGTACTAAAGATATGTGAAGAATGAAAAACAGTGTTTTAGAGAGAAAGCATCAGTTCTAGCTCTGAAATGTCTGCACATTAGATCAGCACTAGGTAAACCTACCTCTATTAAACTGCTCCCTGTTTACCTCCCAAGTAAAGGTATGGACAATGTAAGAATAAACAATCTACTTGGCATCTATAAAACATACTATAAATTGTTCAACAGTAAGCTATACAACTCGATCTTGAATTTTACATTCTTTGTATTCTTTTTTCCACAGAGCTTATTTGACATGTCCTTACAAAATAGTTTTTCTTTCTATTCAAACTAGCTTAACATTGCAAAATCAATTTCTTTTCCCTTACCCGTAAGAACACTTGTGCTGAGAGACTTCTTTTCTGTAAGCAAGGAACAGTTTTCCCCTTTGAGAAATTTCATTCTCTTCCACATTAACTGAGATGGGTTAATGACAGATAGATCTCCCTACAGTTTGGAGAAAAGCAAAATGAATGATTATGCTGGTGATCTTGGTACATACAAAAATTTGAAGGGGATGCATTTTCTTATGATTACCCCACTCAGCTGTTGCAGTGCTTGCTCTTCATAATCCAATTGTCGCTTCAGTTTCAAACTATTAGACAAAGCAATTCTTGCTGGGTTTATATCTATGCTTCTTTGCCCCAAACCATCCAGCGCCCTGTTGAAAAAAGATTTCTGGGTGAGCAAGAAGGCAAATCTAAACTATCTTTTTCATTTATACAGATTCTTCTTTCATTTATTTCATCTATTTAAGATGCCTCTGACACATGACACTGTATGTTGAATGTCTTTGTTTCCTTTTATCAGTCATCCCACAGACTTTGGGAACTTTGGGGATCAAAGGCTAGCATGAACAGCCTCTAAAATCTCCACTCAGGCATAAAAATAATATGGAAAAGAGTCATGAGATTTTTAATCTTAGGATTTTGAAAGCTACGTCTGTCTCCTTGCTAAGCACAAACACGAGTTGTATGTATTCAAGAAATCTACCCCTTTCTGCCCAAATATTTCCTAAGTGTAATACATGGAAAACATAAATTCTTACCTTTTTTTATATATGTGCACGTTGGGAGAATGTATTGGGGGTCCAGAGGGGGAATTTGATAGGGTTCCTGAGTATTTATCCATGAGTCTCCATTTAGCAGGAACATATTCTAACGGCGGATCAGGTGGCCACTGGGTGTTCGGTCTACCCCCCATCGAAGACAGTGGAGTGCTGGCTTGGTTGTGGTATGGTGGCAACGATGACCTACTCATATTGTTGAAGAACACAGATGATAGGGACCCAGAACCAGGGTTAATGTTTTTATTTGATAGCTGTGGGAAATATTTCTCTGGGAGGAACTGATTCTGTGAAGCAGAAGCAAGAGGTTGGAAAATGGTACTCATGCTACTTAGACTCTGCTGGGTATTTTGTGCACTGTCAGAGAGAGGATGTTCTTCTTGGCAGATAGGGCTTAGCTGGAAATCTTCTCCATCCATAGGAATGTAAGGAGCTAAGGTTTCAAGGTCCAGTTCATTGAAGTCAGTCTGCACAAAAATGAAAGAAGTTAATGAGAAACCTAGAAGTTAATAACAGTTGTGGCACTGTGATGCGAAATACCAGTTGGGAGATATGAAGTTTAAAAAAAAAACACACAACACTGTATGACAAATTTATGTAAATGAAAGTGGCTAGCTGCTCCATATTAAAAACAAACAAACAAACCATTATTACTAAGAATTGCACATATGTGTACTCATTCCGGTTCAGACAGAGTTAATCTCACTCACAGTAGCTCACACAGTGTTATATTTTGGACTTGTGGTCAGTGCTTTAGCTATTGCTTAGTAGTGCTTACAAAGAGTTAAGGCTTTCTCTGTTCTGCACCTTGTCCCACCAGTGGAGTAGGCCAGTGGTGGATAAGAAGCTGGGAGGGAGCACAGCTAGAACAGCTGACCCCAGATGACCAAAAGGATATCCTATACCGCATGACATTATGCTAAGCAATAAGAGCTGGGAGAAAGAAGAAGAAGCTGGGAGGCATTCAGAGTTACAGTGTTTGTTTTCCCAAGAAACTGCTACATGTGATGGAGTGCTGTTTTCCTGGAAATGGCTGAACATCTGCCTGCCAATGAGCAGTAGTGAATGAATTCCTTATTTTGCTTTGCTTGCACGTGTAGCTTTTGCTTTTGCAAACTAAGCTGTCTTTATCTCAACCCAATTTCACCCTTCCAGTTGTCTTGCTCATCCTAATGGAGGGAGTGAGCAAGTGGCTGCATGGGTTTAGCTGTCTTGTGGGGTTAATTGACAACATTTTTCATTTTGAGGTTTTACAGGAGTTAATTTATTTATATTTTGTTCAAGAAATGATGTTTAGTCACTAATCATCAGGCCAGATCAAAAAAAAACAGGTGCTGCTTATATTCCTTATCCAGTCTACAGAAACTTCCAATTTCTGAAGCTCTGCTTCTCTCTTTTCATCACTGCCACAGTGACACCTCCAAGGTAATTGCTTCATATTGTAAGGGATAGAAGTGGACGCCTCAGCTTTTCAAAGCATATGCTTGTGTTAGTGCAGTGCATCCAAGTTTTGGTGTACGTGTTATGTATGCAGATGTATGCAGACTGTATCTGCATGCATCTCTACTACTGTCTGCTAACAGAGGGCCAATTTTCATGGTTTTGGGAGAGATATTAGATTCTTACCTGGGAGTTGCACCGACTTTTTGACTCTGTGTCCATGGCAAAGAGTTTTTCAATCACCTCAATCTTAAGATCTTCATCCACAGAAGTGTAGTAATCTTCTGGACTGTTTGGCTGCGCAGAAATAACAATTGGCTATAAGAAGCCAAAACAACTACAGCTTAGCATACTCAACTACATTTCTACCAACATCAGATTAACGGTCACTATAAACTTAGAGAGTCACAGTGATTTAACAAAGGCACCCAATACAACAACTTAGTTGTCCTGTTAGTTTAAATGTGTTTTTTTTTTTTGGCACATCATACTAATAACATGAGACATGCACTATTCAATTATTTTGTCAAGAAATTATAACTTTA